TAATTAATTACACGATTGCGCGTTTTTCAGCACCACCTCCAGCCACCATCAGCGAAAAACATGAACACTGACAAGGTTGTGGAGATGTTGGAAAAGGTTAGGGAGGCGGTCACATCACAGGGACCGTCGGGAAGCTGCCGCACGGTGGACGACGTTAAGAGGGCGGGGGTGGACCAACTGCGGGCCGAGCCGCTCCTTTGGGCAGCCTACTGCCGGGGGTGGGCCGACCGGACCGCCGACCTGGTCAGGACGCTTGGCTCCTCGGCGGCGAGGTCGCCGGCTGCACCAGCAACGGCGAGGACTCCACGCCCGTCGACACATCAGCGTGTCCCAACCGCCAAGGTGACGGGTTCGAGACGCGGGAGGGCGGCTACCGGCACAGTGACCTCCACCATTACAACACCGGCTACCACCACCAAGGCACCTCCACCACGGCAACCCACCCGCCCCGCAGCGACAAAACGGGACATAACTTGGGTGAGGCCGGCCCCGGGGCGTCCATTAGTCCCGAGGATGCCGCCAGCAGAACCACACCCACCAACGACAGAGTGGACGGGGATGCCAAGCCGCGTGGCGTACGTGGACCGCCTACCAACGCCACCACCTGCACCTCCCTCCGACAAGCCAGGACCATTGGAGCCCTGGCCCAAGGCCGTCAAGCCGACAACATCGACGCGGTCGGCAGAACGGGCCAAGGAGCGGAGGAGGGAACATCAGCGGCAAAGGAGATTGCGGGCAAAAGCCGAGAGGGAAGGTCCAAGTCAGCAGTACCGGCTGACGAAGGCGACTACCTCGGCTGGGTCGGCCACCGACCCGGAAGACCGGGAGTTGGTGCAGGTGTCAGCACCGGTGCCAGGTGGTTCCGCCCAGGAACACCGGCCGGAGCGAGACACCAACCCGGGGGAGGCGATGGAGGTCGATGACCGAATCCTCGATGAACCCGGGTCACCACTCCCAACCTTCCCGGACATCGAGGAAGGCCCGCCCGTGTTCTCCACACCGCTCACATCCCCCAGGGCGGACTAGACACCACGGCTGGATACGACCCGTCTACCATAGACTGGACATCGTCTCCACGCCTCGGCGTCGTCCCCACCACAACTGGGGGACACCACAACGGGGGTACAGTTAGTCGGCGACCCGACCCAATAAGTCCGGACATCGCCGACGGACGAACCACCAAAACAGTCACGGGGAAATAGCGTACCGAACTGGGCAGTACCGCGACTGGCGGTTTGGCGGGGGAGTATGACGCGGACCCGTGCGGCAGCCGTTATCGAAACGGCAGTCGCCGACCGTGTCCTTATCTTTCTCATCAACCGCCACTCCGCGGCACGCAACGCCGCAGCGACCCCCGTCCATCCATCCATCACCGGTCAGGGGACGCGAGCGGTCGCTACGACGTCCGACAGGTACCACCTTTTAACCGCGCTGTTTTTCCGAGATCGTGTACGGAGACACATCGCACGTCCTCGACTCACATAATTATCTTTTTTTTTGATTGTGATATTTTCTACGGTGGACGTTGTTGTGATCATTATTATTATTAATTGTTTTTTTTTCTCATCAACTTAAACTGTGTGTTCACATAAATACACATTTTGTGTCACCCTAAGTCGAAGTTGTTTTTTTTTGTTTAATATTCAATTTCGGTTTACCGCACCGCGACCGTGCACACACACACCATCACCTGTGTGCCGCGTCAAAATTGGCTCCCCGAAAAGGAATCACTGGTCAAGTACGTGACAGGTAAGATACTTTTCCGCTAGCTTTACAACCACGCTTTGCTTTCGTTAAGTTTTACTTAGTATTAGGTAATTCGGAAACACGAGGTAAAAGGAAGGTTAGGGAAAAACTCCGGGCGCTGAGCTTATCGCGATACGCTATATAGAACACACCAGAGTCCCCGGGCTACGGAATTAGATATTGCACACACGCGCGAGATATCGACCGAAATACACATGGTATATTGGCAACGCGATAAAAATTATTACAATTTGATCAGCTCCGAGACACCGCGATCGGTCGACCCGCGTCCCACCGCTGCATATCAAACGTATCTTAATTAA